GCGGTGCTGGGTTTGGGGCCCCTTCGGGTGCTTTGTCGAGGCGGGAACTACCCTCTCCACAGGAGCTGCGCGATTGGTTTGCCCGGCGCTGGAGCCGTGCTGCTGTTAATGTTGACCCTAGGGTCGGCACTGGAGTTACTAGAGCCAATGCACCTGGAGGTGCTCGTACTGGCGGTACTGGAGCTGCTGGGCCTGGAGGTGCTGCTGATGCTGCTATAGCTGACGGTCCTACTGGAGGTGGTGCTACTGGAGCTGGAGCTGCAAGAGCTGGAGCTGCTGGAGGTGCTGCTGGCGCTGGTGCTTCTAAGGGTGCTGGAGTTGGCGCTGTTGGAGCCGGGAGTGCTGCTGGCGCTGGTGCTGCCGCTAGGGGTACTTGTGCTGTCCCTGCTGTTTCTAGAGGCGCTGCGCGGCCGCGGCCGTACTTCGTTCCGCTCCTTGAGTAGGTTCTTGGTCTCCCGCCCTCTACTGGTCCTGCTCCTCCCTTAGAGTGTCCACAGCCTCTCCAGTCGCGGTCACAGTTATAGCTCGCCTCCCCCTTGCCTGCTCTTTCTCCCTACACTGGTCCTACTGGAGGTCTTGCTGAGCGTCGTGAGCCTGCGTCTCGTCCTGCGTCGCCTGTTCGTGCTGCTCGCACTAGTAGTCGTGCTCCGCATCCGCGTCCCCCTGCGGTCCCAGGCACACACCAGATGGCACTGCGTCCTTCCACTGCTCCTCTGCGTGTCCCGTTGCCGTCTCCTCCAGAGTCCTCTTTTCCTGTCCTTGCTGACCCGGAGTCTGACTCTGTTCGTGCTGCCAGTCCTACTGTCACGCGTCTCCTAGGTACTCTTGTCACTAACCCTTCCTTTGAGTCCACTAGTGCGTCGGCCCTAGTTGCTGAGCTTGTCGACTTTGCTGCTCACTGTCGTCTAGACTACGCTGCTAGTCTTGTTGCAGAGTCTGAGTCTGTCTGTCCTTTGTCAGTCGGGGGTGAGTGTGCTCTTAGCACGAACGTCCCTAAGGACAGGCAGGAGGAGCTCCAGTGTTTTGCTGCTGCTTTGCCTCATCTTGTGTCCACGCTGATTGCCCATGAGGGAGACCCGGATGCACCAGACATCCCGACTCCTCGATTGTACGCTGAGGCGATCGAGGGTCCCTACTCCTCACAGTTGCAGTCAGCCATGGACGCAGAGATGGCTTCCTGGAAGTCCACACGCACCTCCGTCGACGAGGTTCCCCCACCTGGGGCGAACATCGTCAGTGGCATGTGGATTTTCAGGGTGAAGCTGCCGCCAGGTTCTCCGCTTGTCTTCAAGGCGCGTTACGTGGCTCGAGGCTTCAGTCAGCGGCAGGGAGTGGACTACTTTCATACCTTCTCTCCCACCCCGAAGATGACCACCGTTTGGGTGCTACTGCACATAGCCGCTCAGCGCGACTACGAGCTTCACTCTCTTGACTTTAGCACAGCTTTCCTGCAGGGCAGTCTACACGAGGAGATCTGGCTGCGCCGCCCATCTGGCTTCACTGGGTCGTTTCCTCCTGGTACCTAGTGGAGCCTCCGGCGGCCAGTCTACGGTCTCCGCCAGGCGCCCCGTGAGTGGCACGACTCACTGAGGACTACAGTTGCGGCTCTTGGGTTTGCTCCTTCTACTGCCGACCCTGTCAGAGGTCCACTGGAGATCCCCGATTGATCCTAGGGAAGGGTTACAGGCACGGTTGCCTGGGGGGTTATGGGCGCACTGACCCGCTACTTAAACAAGCCCTTTTATCCCAATGGTCTAGTGGTTGGGATTCTGAGATGGTATCAGAGCGAAGGTCTCGGGTTCGAATCCCGGTGTGTGCACTTCGGGCATCCCAGTGAGGGGGGGTGTCAGAGGTCCACTGGAGATCCCCGATTGATCCTAGGGAAGGGTTACAGGCACGGTTGCCTGGGGGGTTATGGGCGCACTGACCCGCTACTTAAACAAGCCCTTTTATCCCAATGGTCTAGTGGTTGAGATTCTGAGAGACCCGTCGCTGTTTCTGCGCACCAACACCTCTTTGCCGCCGTTCTACATCCTCGTCTACGTTGTAGACTTGGTCTTCGCCACTGCTGACACTGCTGGACTCGCCCACGTGAAGTCCGAGCTGCAGAAGAGACACACGTGCACAGACCTGGGTGAACTGCGCAGCTACCCTGGCTTGCAGATCACCCGGGACAGAGCACAGCGCACCATTACCCTGACTCAGTCACACATGGTGCAGCAGGTCCTTCAGCGCTTCGACTTCACGTACTCCTCGCCTCAGGCCACTCCTCTGTCTACTCGCCACTCGCTCTCAGCTCTGCCTTCGGATGAGTCCGTAGAGCCGAGTGGCCCGTACCCAGAGCTTGTTGGCTGCCTCATGTACTTGATGACCTGCACACGACTTGACCTTGCATACCCTCTAAGCATCTTGGCAGGCTATGTTGCTCCTGGGAGACCCCGACTAGAGCACATGGCTGCAGCGAAGAGGGTGTTGCGCTACTTGTGCTGTACGTCGGGCATGGGGCTAGTGCTTGGAGGGCGATGTTCAGTGGTCCTCACAGGTCACGCAGACGCTTCTTGGGCTGACGACCAGGCTACGCAGCGGTCGTCACAGGGTTACACCTTTAGCCTTGGTTCCGGCTCTGTTTCGTGGCGGTCTACCCGCTCGTCTTGACCTTGCTCACTTCTTGACCTTGCTTGTACTGTGATCTATCTATACCTGCACTTGCTTGTTTACTTTTATATATGATCTTGCATGTGAACTGGCCTTATAACCTTAAACTTGTGCTCGTAATGTGTGGTGACGTTGTGATCCACCCAGAGCTTGCTTTGCTTTGCTTGACTGGTCTTGTGACCTCTTGTTCTCCCCCACTTTGCCTATGGGGGTGTGTGAGGCATATATGCTATAGTCTGTGTAGGCTGTAGTGGGGTAGACAATATGGGGTACAACACTTTTAGGTTTTCCTACTTGTACCCACCTGCTTGCTAGTTCATTCATTCCTCATTTCTTCACATTTGGGATCATTCCCAACTGATTTGCATAGGTAAACAAGCGTTGCAGCGCGCAAAGGTCGAAATCTGTGCAAGGATAGGTTGTGACGTTAGTACGATTTCTGTTGAGCTCCGTTTATTTATTGAACTCCCGTTTCTTGCTCCCACTAGCCTCTACTAGCTATTAGGGTGAGCCTCTATGGGTTTGGGATCCTTCGCAACTGATTTGCATAGGTAAACAAGCGTCGCAGTGCGCAAAGGTCGAAATATGTGCAAGGACAGGCTGTGACGTTAGTACGAGTTTTGTTGAGCTCCGTTTGTTAATTAAACTCCCGCTTCTTGCTCCCGATAGCCTCCGCTATCTATTCGTGTGAGAATCTCCGGGCTTGGGATCGTTCACAACTGATTTGCATAGGTAAATAAGCGTCGCAGCGCGCAAAGGTTGAAATATGTGCAACGAGAGGCTGTGACGTTAGTACGAGTTGCGTTTAGCTCTGTTTGTTAATTAAACTCCAGTTTCTTGCTCCCAATAGCCTCTACTATCTATTATTGTGAGACGGTCCAGGTTCATGATCAATCGCAACTGATTTTTATTGGTAAACAAGCGTCGCATCGCGCAAAGGTCAAAATCTGTGCAAGGATAGGCTGTGACGTTAGTACGCCTTGCGTTAAGCTCCGTTTGTTAATTAAACTCCTGCTTCTTGCTCTTAATAGCCTCTTCTATCTATTAGTGCGAGACTCGCCGGGTTTGGGATCCTTCGCAACTGATTTGCATAGGTAAACAAGCGTCGCAATGTGCAAAAGTCGAAATCTGTGCAAGGACAGGCTATGACGTCAGTACGAGTTCCGTTGAGCTCCGTTTGTTAATTAAACTCCCGCTTCTTGCTCCAAATAGCCTCTGCTATCTACTCGTGTGAGACTCTCCGGGCTTGGGATCGTTCGCAACTGATTTGCATAGGTAAACAAGCGTCGTAGCGCGCAAAGGTCGAAATCTGGGTAGCGACAGGCTGTGACGTCAGTACGAGTTGCGTTTAGCTCTGTTTGTTCATAAACTCCTGTTTCTTGCTCCCAATAGCCTCTACTATCTATTGATGCGAGAATCTCCGGGTTTGGGATCATTCGCAACTGATTTGCATAGGTAAACAAGCGTCGCAGCGCGCAAAGGTCGAAATCTGTGCAAGGATAGGCTGTGACTTTAGTACGAGTTCCGTTGAGCTCCATTTGTTGATTAAACTCCCGTTTCTTGCCCCCACTAGCCTCTACTAGCTATTAGGGTGAGACTCTATGGGTTTGGGATCATTCGCAACTGATTTGCATAGGTAAACAAGCGTCGCAGCGCGCAAAGGTCGAAATCTGTGTAGGAACAGGCTGTGACGTTAGTACGAGTTGCATTGAGCTCCGTTTGTTAATTAAACTCCCGTTTCTTGCTCCCCATATCTTATTTTAACTTTTGTTTCTACGTGCAAATCACAAAACATCTGAACAATAGAACCCCTGAATGTCGCCGGATGTGTTTCGAACATATCAATGACAATGACAAGGCCGCCATGGATATCTCCGCTGATTTCCAATCGCCTATTTCGTGAAGGTTACTTATCAGTTGGTAACTCTGAGACCAGTTCCGAGGTCCTGAGTACATGACGATGTAGAGGATATAATTTTTATGTCTACTACGCGGACATTATATCCTCGGCTACTCAGGTGTATCTCAGGGTTGCGAACACATTTCAAGCTAACCAACCTCAAGGGCTTCTTGATTCCTTCGGCAGTCTCCCAAGCTTTCAATATGATCATCGAAAATACAACGATCCTATCCAACGGACCTGGTCCAACAGCATATCCACTCGGTTTCCAAGGCATGATCCCAAGGCAAGGACCTCAGGAGTTCATCATTTCCTTCAAGAGTGCAAGTCACGCGCTCTAAGAACCTGTTATAAGGAGGTGGTGCTCAGTCCTCAAGCAGTATCAGCTTCACACGCTTTTCAGCCATTTCTATCTGGGCTGCTCTCTGAGTATCATCATCGCACCATGCCTTCGAAACGGACGACGAAGGCTGCCGTGGATGTCACGCTTCCGGATGACCTCTCAACGGACCCGATCACCACGCTGTCTCCTGATGGGGATGGGGCTGAGAAGCAAGGATCGGACATCACGATTAACGCTCCGTCAGCCACAAACATTGCTGCTGGGATCATCAAGGAATCGGCCACTACGGCTGCTGCTGTTGTTGGTGGATCTAGGCTGACTGTGGAAGAGAAGAGTCAGGACAATCAGGCTCCTACCACCGTGAATGACGAGTTCCTGGAAGATGATGAGGATGAAGAGCTGGAAATCGACATCGCCAAGGAAGATGCTTTCCGTCTACGCTATACTGCAATCTTACTCATTCCAATGGTGCTTTCACAAGAGATTAAGGCCATCATTGCTGCAGTCCGACTTCTAATGACGAAAGTCTGGAGCTCGTCCTTGACAGAGAATGCTGGGGTTACGGCGAACATACAAGAGATGACACCTGGTTTCGTTGCGAAGACGCGTTTCCGCCGGCTTCAGATCTCCTTCCTGGATGAACGGGATGCGCATCACATCAAGTTTCACGTTTTTGAGTACCAGAAGGCGAATGCTCCGGTGATCAAGTGCATCTGGCAGCATACGGAGGATGCTACATACCTTAAGGAGAAAGCAGCTCGTCCTCTTGCTATTGAAGTGATTTTCCGCCGTGTGCCTGCTAACATTGTTCCAGATGTTTTGAAGGACCTGCTCGTTCGCTTCAAGCTGAAGATGCGTAAGCAGTCGGCTTTCAAGGAAGGAGTTGGTTTCCACCGGGTTGCTCACCCACTCACCGGAGCTGATACCGATGTGATCAAAGGCTTGGTCGTTCAGCATCCTGGTGACCGATACCGCTGGCGCCATGTGGTTGACAACCCGATGGGGTCCGGAGAGAGGATTCTGGTCCACTACCCTGCATTGTCCTACCAGCTCTGCAATGGACAGCATTATGACATCTTTCATGATCTGTTCATCACAGTGCGGCAGAACAATATAGGGAAGTGGAACCTTACCTTGGGAAAGGCTCATAGTATCAACGGTAACTGCATCGGTCATTTTCCTATCGACACAGCTTTACCTTTTTCAACTCTTACTGACGATCTCTGTTGCGCTCGCAGCTGCTTCTCTGCGCACCTCCGCTCTTGTCACCCCCATACTAAAAGACCCGTCCATTGCTCTCATCTCGACCGGCAGCAACCGCGAAGAATGGATCTACACGCAAGTGTGCTGCGGGAAATCGAAGGGAAAAACTTTCTTGGCTGCTGCGGATCACATCATATCTGCGACTCACCTGCTGAACCAGGAGAAGTTGGGTACTGCTACAAAAGCCTCTATGGACAAGACCAACCTTGCCGATCTGAAGAAAGGTTACAACTTCTAAGGCTGCAGAATAAGAACCGAGTGCTGTTAGCGATCGTAGGGTGGAGCGCAGTAGTCAGTGTAGTCACCATCTTCAGCCTGTGGATGAATAAGGGCTGCCAGGCAGTTATCAAATGAGTAACAAAAACTTTCTCTCCGTAGCAGGCCTTAGTGTCAACGGCCTAGGCGACAGAACAAAGCAAGACAAAGTTTCAATCTGGACCAGAACAGCAGCAGATATCATCATTCTCACAGACACAAGACTACCACATAACCATACTTACTGGAAATCCCACTCATCAGGGAGACTGATTGTAGCCACCGCCAGCCGTTTTGGTTTCACTCTTACCCTTATTGCTGCCTATTTCCCCGCGGACGCAACTGACAGATGTTCTTCTTGATGAATGTAGTCGGCCCGGCTTTTGACCAGATCCCCACCACAGACCACGTAGTTCTTCTAGGCAACCTGAACATGGTAGAAGACCCAGTATTAGACCGGACGTCTCAATCAGGCACTTCCTTAGAAAACGAAAGACTCATTTCACGATGCAGCCGCTTTAAGCTTTCAGACGCATTCTGCATGCTTCATCCTAAGCTCAGAGAATATACCTTCTACGCAACCTCTAAGCAATCCAGCTCCCGCATCGACCGCGCGCTCGTTTCTTGCTCGCTTCTCCCGCACCTTGACATAGCTGCACACATACGTCCGGAAGAATACTTAGATCACGGTTTTGGGATAAAAATCGATTTAAACATCAAAGCCTCTTCTCACCTGGGTCCTGGCATCTGGAGGCTGCATGCAGCGGCGATAGGCAGGCCTGGTGTTTAGAAGGTTGTGGAAGCTGCTCTTGCAAAGGCGGCTGAGGAAGGGGAAGGAAACTTCGAGCTACTCTTAGGGAGACTCAACGCGGGGTTACGCCCATACATGAAGGAGGAAAACAAGAGGGTGAAAAAAACAACGGCTCATTTGGCGGAGGTAGTGGCGGAGCTTCACTAGGAGCAGATGCGGATCCCGGGTTGTCACAAGACGAGAGACCTGTTGCATGTCAGAGACGCGCAGCTGAAAGAGTATCCCGCGTCAAGAAGAGACCGGCTTCACGTGATGACGGGAACAAACGTGGAGTTAGCTGGGGAGGTTCCTTTGAGAAGAAGCGAACGAGTGTGAATGACTATGAACGAAGTGAGTACAAATAGGAAACCCTAATTGGGTTGTACCCCCTATGGGATACCCCACTATAGCCTACACAAATAAGTAAGCTATATGTGTTCTGACACACCCCCATAGGCAAAGTGGGGGAGAACAAGGGGTCACAAGACCAGTCAAGCAAAGCAAAGCAAAGCAAAGCTCAGGGTGGATCACAAAGTCACGACACATTCCGAGCGCAAGGTCAAGGGCCACAAGGCCAGTTCGCATGCAAGATCATATATAGAGATTTACAAGAGTCAAGCAAGCAAGAGCAAGAGTATATATAGGACAAGGTACAAGCAAGGTCAAGAAGTGAGCAAGTGAGACAAGACAGGCACAAGACCCAACTGCGTGCAGCAACGCTGATGATCACAAGGAGCAAGTGCCTTGGTGAAGACATCAGCAGTGTTGGCCTCAGAGGCCACGTACGCAAGTCGCAACTGTCCACGCTGCTGTAGCTCACGAGCAAGAAAGTAGCGGAGAGCAATGTGCTTTGTCCTGTGCTCCAGTCGCTGCTCTCGACACAAGGCCAGCATGGCCTTGTTGTCTACGTACAGGACTGGAGGAGAACGAGGCGGCTCTCCAAGGTCGGTCAGCAGGTAGGTGAGCCAGCGAAGCTCCTGAGCAGCCATAGCCCCGGCGTAGATCTCAGCCTCACAACTGGAGCCGAGAACAGAAGACGAGCGAGTAGCCCGCCACGAGACAGAGCCGGAACCAAGGCCGAAGGTGTAACCCTGTGACGACCGCTGCGTAGCCTGGTCGTCAGCCCAAGAAGCGTCCGCGTGCCCAGTGAGGACCACTGGACTGCGCCCTCTGAGCACTAGCCCCATGCCCGACGTACTGCACAAGTAGCGCAACACCCTCTTCGCTGCAGCCATGTGCTCTGGTCGGTGTCTCCCAGGAGCAACATAGCGTGCGAGAATGCTGAGAGGGTATGCAAGGTCAGGTCGTGTGCAGGTCATCAGGTACATGAGGCAGCCAACAAGCTCTGCATACGGGCCACTCGACTCTACGGACTCATCCGAAGGCAGAGCTGAGAGCGAGTGGCGAGTAGGCAGAGGAGTGGCCTGAGGCGAAGAGTACGTGAAGCCGAAGCGCTGAAGGACCTGCTGCACCATGTGTGACTGAGTCAGGGTAATGGTGCGGCGTGCTCTGTCCCGGGTGATCTGCAAGCCAAGGTAGCTGCGCAGTTCACCCAGGTCAGTGCACGTGTGTCTCTTCTGCAGCTCGGACTTCACGTAAGCGAGTCCAGCAGTGTCCGCTGTGGCAAAGACCAAGTCGTCGACGTACACGAGGATGTAGAAAGGCGGCAGAGAGGTGTCGGTGCGTAGAAACAGCGACGGGTCAGCAGTAGAAGGAGCAAACCCAAGTGCCGCAAGCGTAGTCCTCAGTGTGTCGTGCCACTCACGTGGAGCCTCGTGGAGACCGTAGACTGGACGCCGGAGACTCCACTGGGTACCAGGAGGGAAAGACCCAGTGAAGCCAGGTGGGCGACGCAGCCAGATCTCCTCGTGCAGGCTGCCCTGCAAGAAAGCTGTGCTGAAGTCGAGAGAGTGCAGCTCGTAGTCACGGTGAGCAGCAACGTGCAGTAGTACCCGAAGAGTGGTCATCTTCGGGGTGGGGGAGAAGGTCTGAAAGTAGTCAACCCCCTGCCGCTGACTGAAGCCACGAGCCACGTAACGCGCCTTGAAGACAGGCGGAGAACCCGGCGGCCGCTTCACCCTGAAAATCCACATGCCACTGATGATGTTCGCCCCAGGAGGGGGAACAGCGTCGACGTAGGTGCCTGTGGACTTCCAGGAAGCCATCTCTGCATCCATAGCTGCCTGCCACTGAGAGGAGTAGGGACCCTCTATCGCCTCCGCGTAAGAGCGCGGAGTCGGGATGTCTAGTGCATCCGGGTCTCCCTCAGGGGCTAGCAGTACAGACGCAAGATGAGGTGAAGCGGCGGCCAGACACTGGAACTCCTCCTGCCTGTCCTCAAGGACGTCCGTGCCAAGGGCACACTCACCCCCGACGGACGGAGGACAAGCAGACTCAGACTCAGCAACGAGACTAGCAGCGTAGTCTAGACGACAGCGCGCAGCAAAGTCGACGAGCTCAGTGACAAGGGCAGACGCAGCAGAAGACTCGAAAGAAGGGTCAGTGACAGCAGTAGCAAGAAGACGCGTGACAGTAGGACTGGCAGCACGAAGAGAGTCCGACTCCGGGTCGGCAAGAGCAGGAAGAGAGGAAGCAGGAGGAGAAGGCAAAGGGGCACGCAGAGGAGCAGTAGACGGACGCAGAGACATCCGGTGCGTGCTAGGGACAGGAGGAGGACACTGACGCGAACCACGACCACTAGCGCGCGCAGTACGAACAGGCGACGCAGGACGAGACGCAGGCTCACGACGCTCAGTAAGACCTCAAGTCGGACCAGCGTAGGGAGAAGGAGCAGGCAAAGGTGAGGCAGGCTGTAGCTGTGACTGTGACGAGACAGGCTGTGGACCCTCTAAGGGAGGAGGAGGAGGACTAGGAGAAGGAGTAAGACCAAGAACCTGCTGCAGGAGCGGAACGAAGTACGGCCGGGGCCGCGCGGCGACGCCAGAAACAGCAGAGACAGCACCGGTACCCCCAGCAGGAGTACCCGCTCAAGCAGCACCTCCAGTAGCTCCAGAACCTCCAGCAGCACCACCAGGAGCACCACCAGTCGGACCTCCAGCGGCAGTCTCAGCGTCAACACCCTCAGCAGCACCAGCTCCAGGAGAACCCTCAGACCCAGCAGCTCCAGCACCCACAGTACGAGCACCGCCAGGACGCTCGGCAGCAGTACCCTCTGCAGTCAAAGAACCTCCAGCACCAGCAGCACGCCTCCAGCGCCTGGCAAACCACTCACGTAGCTCCTGAGGGGAGAGAGGCTCTCGGCGAGACGAAGAACCTCCAGGCGGAGCACCCCCAGTCGCAGCACCTCCAGGCTCAGCACCCCCAGACTCAGTACCCCCAGGCTCAGTACCCCCAGGCACAGCACCCCCAGGCGCAGCACCTCCAGGCTCAGCACCCCCAGGCTCAGCACCCCCAGGCGCAGCACCTCCAGGCTCAGCACCCCCAGGCTCAGCAACCCCAGGCTCAGCACCCCCAGGCTCAGCACCCCCAGGCTCAGCACCCCCAGGCTCAGCACCTCCACACTCCGCACCCCCAGGCTCAGTACCCGCAGGCGTAGCACCTCCAGTCTCAGCACCCCCAGGCTCAGCTCCCGCAGCAGCACCAGAGTTACCAGTGACCTCGACAGGCTCGACCGCGTCTACCTGGGACACACCTGAAGGGGCAGGACCCTGAGGGCGGAGGGGGTCTACCGGGGGGGGACCTGGTACCAAGAAGAGCGGGGGCGGGGGGAGGGACGGAGTGCGGTAGGGGAAGAGGCGGTAGTAGGGCACCGACTCGTCGAACGTGACGTCCTGGGAGGACAGAACACGTCGAGAGGTGGGGTGGTAAAACTGCCACCCAGGGGCGTCGGGGGGGAACCCCAGGAAGACGCAGGGAGCAGCGCGAGGGGACAGCTTGTCCGCAGACAAGTCGCGGACAAACGCCCGAGATCCCCAGACCCGGAACGCCGACGCATCGCCAACCTTCCCCGTCCACAGAAGGGCTGGGGAGGTCTCCGGCCTGGAGACCCTGGGGTGGAGGTTGATCTGATGCGCCGCGTACCTGACCGCAAACGGCCACAGAAAATGGGGGGCAGCCGCATGCATCATAGACGTACGAGCGACGTCCATGACCATGCCAATGCGGCGCTCTGCAATCCCATTTTGCTGCGGTGAGTCCGGAAGCGTGAAGGTCTGGCGGATGCCTCGCGCACGACAGAAGGCACGCAGAAGGCCAGAGGAGAACTCTCCGCCTCTGTCCGAGTGCAGACGCAACACAGGAAAGTCCGAGCCAAAGCTCTGCCTGAGCTGGAGACGAGCTGCGCGGATCCAGTCGATCAGCACCTCAGTGACATCACCCTTGCTGCGCAAGGGGAAGACTGTGGTGTAACGCGAGTAGTCGTCAACCACCAGCAGGAAGTAGCACTCGTGACCGAGTCCACGGACGCGGGCAGGGCCCCACACGTCCATGTGAAGCGTCTGCAACGGAGCCTCTGTCGGAGGAAACTGGGAGGAGTGAGGGGCAGCACGCTGGCGCCCCTCGACGCAGGGGACACAGGCAGGGCCAGGGCCTTGAGGAAGGGGAGGGAGGGACCGGGGGAGACCAGACACAAGGAGACGGGAGGCCATGCCTTTGAGCCGAAGCAAAGAGGGGTGGCCAAGGCGGTGGTGCCAGAGGAGAGTCTCGTGAGACAGACGGGGACACGAACAGGGGGCACACTCAGGACCAGACCTGGACGCTGCAGCAAACGCCTGACCAGACGAAGGGACTCTACCAGACTCAGCACCGGGAGGAGAAGCAGTGGTCAGTGTGTACAGGCTCGACCCTGGCTGACGTGTAAACGTAGCTAGGTGGCGATCTGTGCTAGCCTCTGTGCAGTGTGTCACCCGCTGACGAGCAGGAGTGAACTGGTGGACACCCCCATCCTGTAGGTCAGCACCACTCACCAGGTTCGTAGAGAACAAGGGGAGGTAGAGACCAGTCAGGGTGCCAGAGGGAGCCGCCGGACACGGGAGGACTGTGGAGAAACGAGACAGGACAGGACCCCCAGAGGGGTCAGCCAGGGACACCGCAACAGGCCGACTAAGCGGCGTGAGAGTGTTGCGGTCCCGAAAGAAGGAGCGAGAAGCCCCAGAGTCAAGGGTGAAGGTGAGGGAGGCCGAAGCCGACGTAGTACCTGAGAGCGCAGACTCACCAGTACCTGAGGACGCAGACACACTAGCACCAAGAGCAGCAGCGTCGCAAGCACCTAGGGCAGCAGCCGCACCAGTACCTAGAGCAGCAGACTCAATGCCCGGATCGGGCGGGAAACACCAGTAACAGTCACCCTCATCACTAGCAGACACAGCATACATGGCAGCAAGAATAGCATCAAAGTCAAGATCAAAGATAGCTACACCAGCCCTAGACAGCTCTCCCTAGCGGGGGATCTCAGAGGCCTCCGGAAACTGCTGGCGCCAAGCGTCGGTCAAGCGGGCAAAGCAGCGGCGGGCGGTATGGGTGCCCCCACACTGCTCACCCGCACGGTCGCCGGTGCGAAGGACGTAGGTGCAGGGACCGAACGCCCCACCACGCAGACGCTGGGAGTACCACTCACGGAGCTGCTGAGGGGTGGGGACGTCGCGAGAGCGCTGCTGCTGCTGCTGCTGCTGCTGGCGCTGACTACCTCCAGTGGTGCTCCGCTGGGACGATCCACTCCGACCACCTCCACCACCGCCACCTCCGCCTCCGCCGCTACCGCCGCCACCGCCACCCTCGCCCCCGCCGCTCCCACCGCCACCACCACCACCACCTCCGCCTCCACCGCCGCCACTAGTACCTCCACTCCCGCCACCACCTCCACTGCCACCCCCACTCCCCCCGCCGCCTCCACCACCTCCGCCACCGCCCCCGCTAGCTCCACCTGCTCCCTTGCCCCCTTTGCCCCTGCCAGGGCGGCGCCTACCGCTGGGGGCAGACGCCGCACCGACCGACTCCAAACCAACGAGGTCGGCCGCAGCAGCAGAGGCGACAGAGGGAAGTAGGGGGGAAGGAGAACACCCCTCAAAGATGGGGGTGCGAGGGTCACCACGAGAGGCCCCTACAGCGACGATACTCTTCTCAGCCGCTAGCAGGGACTTCTCAAGGAGGTCGACAGTGAGGGTGGTGGGACAGACAGAGAGAAACTGGTCCCTAACGGCACGAAGGGACTCAGGGAGACGGGTGACTAGAAAGTAGAGAGTGATGTACATGGGAGGAGGGTTTGCGGCGCGGAACTCAGCAGGAAGCGCAGCGCGGTAGCGAGTGTCACTAGCGCGGAGGTGGGTAAAGAGGTCAGCGACTGTGGGAAAGGCAGCGAGGTCAGGGAAGAGGAACGGTAGCATGAGGCGGCTCAGCGTAGCGGAGGAAGGGGAGGAGTAGCGCGCAACTACAGCGTCGTACAAGGCCTGAGCGGTCTTGCACTGACTAAAGTGTGCACGCTCGGAGGAAGGGAGGTGGCGACGCACAGCAAGACGTGCAGCAGCATCGCGCGTGGCCCACTTGGAGCGAACAGAGGGGTCAGCATCAGCAGGAGGGGCAGGGACAGCGCCAGAGACAAAGTCAAAGAGAGAAACCTCATCGATCGCATCGCACAGTAAGTACAGCTGCAGGTCCTCGACCCAGACTGCAAAGTCAACGGCGCGACCCTCAGCGTCAAAAGACAGGACACTGGAGGTGGCCATTATAGCAGCTGACAGTCTCACCGGGCGGGAAGAGTCGGGTAGCTCAGGAGTACAGCCACACAGCAGCACAGCAGCTACGGCGGCCCAGGAGCAGCAGCAGCCCCCACAGGAACAGGAGGCCGACGCCTCAGGCTGCTCGGGCGGCTCGGGCGGCTCGGGCGACTCGGGCGGCTCGGGCGGCTCGGGCGGCTCGGGCGGCTCGGGCGGCGCGGGCGTCTTGCGGGCGACAGCACGGGCGGCTGGGGCGGCTCGCGGGTGGCTCACGCGCGGCTGGGGCGGCTCGCGGGCGGCGCACGGGCGGCTTACGGGCGGCTGGGGCGGCTGCACGGGCGGCTCGAGGGCGGCGTCGGCTGCTCACGGGCGGCGTCGGCGGCGACGGCGGCGTCAGCGGCTCACGGGCGGCGTCGGCGGCGTCGGCGGCTCACGGGTGACGTCGGCGGCGTCGGCGGTGCACGGGCGGCGTCGGCGGCGTCGGCGGCGTCGGCGTCGTGGGCGGTTCACGGGCGGGCGGCTCACGGGCGGGCGGCTCACGGGCGAGCGGCTCACGGGCGGCGGCTCACGGGCGGCGGCTCACGGGCGGCGGCGTCACGGACGGCGGCGCACCAGCGGCGGTTGACGGGCGGCTGCGCTGACGGGCGGAGCTCACGGGCGGTGCTCACGGGCGGCGCTCACAGGCGGCGCTCACGGGCGGCGGCGCACGGGCGGCAGCGCACGGACAGGCCGCGGGTGGCGAACGGGCGCTAGGGCGGGCGCCGGGCGCTAGGGCGCTAGGGCAGGCGCTAGGGCGGGCGCTAAGGCGGCCGCTAGGGCGGGCGCTAGGGCGCTAGGGCGGGCGCTAGGGTAGGCGCTAGGGCGCAAGGCGCTAGGGCAGAAAAAAAAAATTTTAAGCGGTGGGCCCTAAGCACAGTTCCCACAGGGGAACCTGCTCTGATTCCATGAGAAGAAGCGAACGAGTGTGAATGACTATGAACGAAGTGAGTACAAATAGGAAACCCTAATTGGGTTGTACCCCCTATGGGATACCCCACTATAGCCTACACAAATAAGTAAGCTATATGTGTTCTGACATCCTTCACCTTTTCTATCAGCGAGAGTCAAGTTCAGGAAGCAGAAAACACAAATTGCGAAGCTGGCGGTGGGCGGCGTCAAGATCTCCGACTAACCCGGAATCCTGAAGGCCGCGACGCAGTATTTTGCAGACCTGTTTGGTACTGACGGTCAGATGTCGGAAGAGAAGTGGAAACCACTTGCTGGGAGGAAGCTGGACGCAGAGGCCGCGGCTGAGCTTGCGGCTGACTGGTCAGAGGTAGAGGTGAAGCAGGCTATCAAAGCGCTCGCGGACGGCAAATCCCCTGGGAAGGATGGACTCCCTAAAGAGCTCTTTGAAAAGCATTGGGACGTTCTTGGCAAGGAATTTCTCCGCATGGCGCAATCTTTCGCCGCTTCTGCATCTATTCCTACAAGCATCAAGGAAGCGGTGACCATCCTGCTCCATAAAAAAGGCGAGAAGGAGAACCTGGATACCTACCGCCCAATCACATTACTGAATTTTACGTACAAGGTGTTGGCGTGGGTGGTGGCGAATAGGATGAAACCGCACCTGCACAAGGTGATTTCGGCGGAGCAGTATGGTTTTATACCCGGCAGGAGAATTTCAGATGCCATCGGCGTGGTTGCTGACGTTATTGATGTCAGATTTATATGACATAGTTGCTGTAGGCTATAGTGGGGTAGCACATATGGGGTATAGGGTTTCTAGGGTTGTATTTGTACCCAATCTTTCCTTAGTCATTCCATCCCTGTTCACTTGTTTCACATGGTATAGAGCGGGTCCTTCCTAAGGACCGTTTTTTTTAGGGCCCACCGAAGCGCGCCCCGAGGCGCGCATTTTTTTTTAGCGACCCCTCGGGTCGCCATTTCCCTCGCGGCCCCGCTGTCCCTCAGACGCGGCCCCGCCACCCCTCCTGATCGCGGCCCCGCCGCCTGCTTGACGCGGCCCCGCCGCCTCCACTGACACGGCCCCGCCGCCGGCTCTGACGCGGCCCTGCCGCCCGCGACGTCGCGGCCCCGCCGCCATCTTGACGCGGCCCCGCCGCCTCCACAGACGCGGCCCCGCTGCCGGCTCTGACGCGGCCCTGCCGGCCCGCCGCTGCACCTGACGGCCCCGCCGCTGCACCTGCCGGCCCGCCGCTGCACCCTACGGCCCGCCGCTGCACCCTACGGCCCGCCGCCTCACCTGACGGCCCCGCCGCTGCACCTGCCGGCCCGCCGCTGCACCCTACGGCCCGCCGCTGCACCCAGCGGCCCGCCGCTTCACCTGACGGCCCAGCCGCTGCACCTGCCGGCCCGCCGCTGCACCTACCGGCCCGCCGCTGCACCCTACGGCCCCGCCGCTGCACCTGCCGGCCCGCCGCTGCACCCTACGGCCCGCCGCTGCACCTGCCGGCCCGCCGCTTCACCTGACGGCCCAGCCGCTGCACCTGCCGGCCCGCCGCTGCACCCTACGGCCCGCCGCTGAACCCAGCGGCCCGCCGCTGAACCCAGCGGCCCGCCGCTTCACCTGACGGCCCCGCCGCTGCACCTACCGGCCCGCCGCTGCACCCTACGGCCCCGCCGCTGCACCTGCAGGCCCGTCGCTGCACCGGTCGACCCGCCGCTGCACCTGCCGGCCCGCCGCTGCGCCTGGCGGCCCCGCCCCTGCATCTCCCGGCCGGGCCGCCCCAGCAGCAGAGCCACCCCAGCAGCCGAGCCGCCCCAGCCGCCGAGCCGCCCCAGCAGCCGAGCCGCCCCAGCAGCCGAGCCGCCCCAGCAGCCGAACCGCCCCAGCTGCTGTGCCGCCCGAGCCGCCCGAGCCGCCGAGTCGCCCGAGCCGCCCAGCAGTCGAGCCGCCCGAGCCGCCCGAGCCGCCCGAGCCCTCCCTGCACTGCCCTGTCAGGTGAGCACTGAGCTTTACTCTGCGCACTGCCCTCTCTCTACTGCTGTCATGGCTACCCCCAGTGTCCTCGCCTTTGACGCTGAGGGCAGAGCCATTGACTTTGACGTGTGGGTAGACGACCTACTGCTTTTCCTACAGTGCGACAGAGCTGACGGAATCTCTCTCTTTGATCTCACTTCTGGTGCCTCTCCCGCCCCTGCTGCTACTGAGGATGCCACTGTTCGCTCACAGTGGGCCACACGCGATGCTGCTGCACGTCTTGCTGTGCGTCGCCACCTCCCTCCCGCTGAGCGTGCGCACTTTGGGTCGTACAAGAGTGCTAAGACCTTGTACGACGCCGTTATTGCACGCTACTCCACCCCTGCCACTGCTGCACTGAGCCGCCTCATGCTACCGTACCTCTTTCCCGACCTTGGTGCTTTTGCCACAGTAACCGACCTCATTACCCACCTGCGCACTAGTGACGCTCGCTTCCGCGCTGCACTTCCTGCTGAGTTCTGCGCCAAGAACCCCCCCCCCCCAGTACTTCACTCTCTACTACATTGTAACCCGCCTCCCTGACTCCCTTCGCGGAGTCAGGGACGACCTACTCGCAGTCTGCCCCACCACTCTCACTGTCGAGATCCTCGAGAAGTCCCTCCTAGCAGCCAAGAAGAGCATTCTCGCTGTAGGGGCCTCTCGTGGTGACCCGCGCACCCCCATCTTTGAGGGGTGTTCCCCCTCCCCCCTCCTGCCCTCTGTCGCCTCTGCTGCTACGGCCGACCTTGTTGGTTTTGAGTCGGTCGGAGCGGCGTCTGCCCCCAGCGGGAGACGTCGCTCTGGCAACAGCAAGGGGGGCAGGGGCGGTGGTGGAGGCGGCGGGGGCGGTGGAGGCGGAGGTAGAGGCAGCGGCGGAGGTGAGGGTGGTAGCGGGAGTAGTGGCGGGAGTGGAGATGTCGGCGGAGGCAGTGGAGGCGGGGGCGGCAGCGGCGGTGGTAGTGGGGGTGGAGGCGGAGGCGGCGGTGGCGGCGGCGACGGTGGGAGTGGCGGTGGCGGTGGAGGTGGTGGCGGCGGCGGCGGAGGAGGCGGCGGAGGTCGTGGCGCGCCGAGGAGGAGTGGCTCCGGTGGTGGTCAGCGCCAACAGCAGCAGCGTGGTCAGGAGACCCTCTCCCCGCAGCAGCTCCGTGAGTGGTACTCTGCGCGTCAGCGGGGTGGGGGTACTGGTCCGTGCACTTACGTCCTGCGCACTGGCGACCGTGCGGGTGAGCAGTGTGGTGGTCCACACTCCACCCAGCGTTGCTTCGGCCGCCTGACTGACGCTTGGCGCCGCCAGTTTCCTGACGCCTCTGAGATCCCTCGCTGGGACCAGCTGTCTAGGGCTGGAGTAGCTATCTTTGATCTTGACTTTGATGCTATTCTTGCTGCAATGTATGCTGTGACTATTAGTGAGGAGGGTGACTGTTACCGGTGTTTCCCGCCCGACCCGGGCATTGGTACTGCGGCTCTAGGTGCTGTTGAGGCTGCTGCTCCAGGTGCTGGTGAGGCTGTTGCTCTAGGTGCCCGTGAGTCTGAGTCCTCAGGTGCTGGTGAGTCTGCTCTCTCAGGTACTGTGTCGACTTCACCCTCTCTCACTTTCACTCTTGACTCCGGGGCGTCTAGCTCCTTCTTTCGAGACCGCACCACACTCACGCCGCTTAGTCGGCCAGTGGCGGTCTCCTTGGCAGACCCCTCTGGGGGTCCTGTTCTGGCTCGCTACTCCACTGTCCTGCCGTGCCCTGCGGTCCCGTCTGGCGCCCTGTCCGATCTCTACCTCCCCTCGTTCTCTACGAACTTGGTGGCGCGTGCTGACCTACAGGATGCAGGGGTTGACCAGTTCACCCCTGCGCGCCGACGAGTCACCCACTACACGGACGCGGACACGGGTTGACACCTGACCACATTCAAACGTGGTCCAGGGTCGAGCCTGTACACACTCACTGTTCCGTCTCCTCCTCCTGCGTCTGGTCAGGTAGCTGCGTCGGGTCAGGTGTTTGCTGCAGCGTCCAGGTCTGGTCCTGAGTCTGCCCCCTGCTCGTGTCGCCTCCTGTCCCACGAGACCCTCCTGTGGCACCACACGATGGGTCACCCCTCCCTGCCTCGTCTCCGGGGCATGGCCTCTCGCCTTCTTGTCTCTGGCCTTCCCCGGTCCCTCCCTCCCCTTCCTCCGAGGCCTGGCCCTCCCTGTGTCCCCTGTGTCGAGGGTCGCCTGCGGGCTACCCCTCACTCCTCCCCGTTCCCTCCGACGGAGGCCCCGATGCAGACGCTTCACATGGACGTGTGGGGCCCAGCCCGCGTCCGTGGACAGGGTCACGAGCGCTACTTCCTGCTGGTGGTTGACGACTACACGCGTTACACCTCAGTCTTCCCCTTGCGCAGCAAGGGTGAGGTCACTGAGGTGTTGATCGACTGGATCCGCGCAGCTCGTCTCCAGCTCAGGAAGAGCTTCGGCTCAGACTTTCCTGTTTTCCGCCTGCACTCGGACAGAGGCGGAGAGTTCTCCTCCGGCCTTCTGTGAGCCTACTGTCGGGCACGAGGCATCCGCCAGACCTTCACGCTTCCGGACTCTCCACACCAGAATGGGATTGCTGAGCGCCGCATCGGCATTGTCATGGACGTCGCCCGTACGTCCATGGTGCATGCGGTTGCCCCCCATTTTCTGTGGCCGTTCGCGGTTCGGTACGCCGCGCATCAGATCAACCTTCACCCCAGGGTCTCTCGGCCCGCGATGTCCCCAGTCTTGATGTGGACGGGGAAGGTTGGCGATGCGTCGGCGTTCTGTGTCTGGGGATCTCGGGCGTTTGTCCGCGACTTGTCTGCGGACAAGCTGTCCCCTCGTGCTGCTCCCTGTGTCTTCCTTGGCTTCCCCCCTGACGCCCCAGGGTGGCAGTTCTACCACCCCTCCTCTCGTCGTGTTCTGTCCTCCCAGGACGTCACGTTCGACGAGTCAGTCCCCTTCTACCGCCTCTTCCCCTACCGCACTCCTTCCCTCCCCCCTCCACCGGACTTCCTTGTGCCGGTTCCCCCCCCGGTAGACCCCCTCCCCCCTCAGGTTCCTGCTCCCTCAGGTGTGTCCCAGGTAGACGCCGTTGACCCGGTCGAGGTTACTGGTGACTCTGGTGCTGCTGCGGGTGCTGGGCCTGGGGGTGCTGCCTCTGGGGGTGCTGTGCGCGGGGGTGCCGGGCCTGGAGGTGCTGCTACTGGGGGTGCTGAGCTTGGGGGTGCAGGGCCTGCGGGTGCTACTGCGGAGGGTGCTGAGCCTGAGGGTGCTGAGCCTGGGGGTGCTGAGCCTGGGGGTGCTGAGACTGGAGGTGCTACGCCTTGGGGTGCTGAGCCGGGGGGTGCTGTGTCAGGAGCTGCTGAGCCTGGGGGTGCTGAGTCTGGAGCTGCTGCGCCTGGGTGTGCTGCGTCTGGAGCTGCTGAGCCTGGGGTTTCTCCTGCTGCTGCGTCTCGCCGGGAGCCCCTCTCTCCACAGGAGCTGCGCGAGTGGTTTGCTCGCCGCTGGAGGCATGCTGCTGGAGCTGGAGCTTCTTCGACCGTCGAGGGTGCTGGTCCTGCCGGTCCCGGAGCTGCTGGGCCTGCGGGTCCTACTGGAGCTGGAGCCGCTGAGGGTGTTGGTGCTGAGACAGCTGCTGTCTGTCCTGGCGGTGGTTCTGCTGCTGGTGCTGCTGGAGGTCCTGCTGCTGGAGGCGCTGGTGCTGTCGCTGAGGGTGCTGGTGCTGTACCTGCTGAGTCTGGAGTTGCCGCGCGGCCTCGGCCGTACTTCGTTCCGCTCCTGCAGCAGGTTCTTGGTCTTTCTCCTCCGGTAGAGTGTCCACAGCCTGTCCAGTCGCAGTCCTTGTTGGAGCCTTCCTCTCCACTGCCTGCTCCCTCTCCTTACACTGGTCCTACTGGAGGTCTTGCTGAGCGTCGTGAGCCTGCGTCTCGTCCTGCGTTGCCTGTTCGTGCTGCTCGCACTAGTGGTCGCGGTTCGCGTCAGCGTCCTCCTCCTGTCCCTGGCACGCACCGGATGTCTTTGCGTCCGTCCACTGCTCCTCTGCGTGCCCCTTTGCCTTCTCCTCCTGAGTCCTCTCTTCCTGCGCTTGCCGACCCTGAGTCGGACTCTCTTCGTGCTGCCAGTCCTACTCTCACGCGTCTCCTTGCTACTGTCGTCACTGACCCCTCGTTTGAGTCCACTGCTGCGTCTGCCCTTGTCGCTGAGCTCGTCGACTTTGCTGCTCGCTGTCGTCTAGACTACGCTGCTAGTCTTGTTGCTGAGTCAGCGTCTGACTGTCCTCCGTCCGTCGGGGGTGACTGTGCTCTTGGCACGGACGTCCTAGAGGACAGGCAGGAGGAGTTAGAGTGTCTGGCGGCTGCTTCACCTCATCTCGCGTCTGTACTGCTTGCTCCTGAGGGAGACCCGGATGCACTAGACATCCCGACTCCGCGCTCTTACACGGAGGCCGTAGAGGGTCCCTACTCGTCTCAGTGGCAGGCAGCTATGGATGCAGAGATGGCTTCCTGGAAGTCCACAGGCACCTACGTTGACGCAGTTCCCCCTCCTGGGGCGAACATCGTCAGTGGCATGTGGATCTTCAGGGTGAAGCGGCCGCCGGGCTCTCCACCTGTCTTTAAGGCGCGGTACGTTGCTCGTGGCTTCAGTCAGCGGCAGGGAGTTGACTACTTTCAGACCTTCTCTCCCACCCCGAAGATGACCACTCTTCGGGTGCTGCTGCACATAGCCGCTCAGCGCGACTACGAGCTTCACTCTCTCGACTTCAGCACTGCGTTCCTGCAGGGTAGCCTGCACGAGGAGATCTGGCTGCGCCGTCCACCTGGCTTCACTGGGACTTTCCCTCCTGGCACCCAGTGGAGCCTCCGACGGCCAGTCTACGGTCTCCGCCAGGCACCGCGTGAGTGGCACGACACACTGAGGACTACGCTTGCGGCTCTTGGGTTTGCTCCTTCTACTGCTGACCCGTCGCTGTTTCTGCGCATCGACACTTCTCTGCCGCCGTTCTACATCCTCGTGTACGTCGACGACTTGGTCTTTGCCACAGCGGACACTGCTGGACTCGCCTACGTGAAGTCCGAGCTGCTGAAGAGACACACGTGCACAGACCTGGGTGAACTGCGCAGCTACCTTGGCTTGCAGATCACTCGGGACAGAGCACGCCGCACCATTACCTTGACTCAGTCACACATGGTGCAGCAGGTCCTTCAGCGCTTCGGCTTCACGTACTCCTCGCCTCAGGCCACTCCTCTGTCTACTCGCCACTCGCTCTCAGCTCTGCCTTCGGATGAGTCCGTAGAGTCGAGTGGCCCGTACCCAGAGCTTGTTGGCTGCCTCATGTACCTGATGACCTGCACACGACCTGACCTTGCATACCCTCTGAGCATTCTTGCACGCTTTGTTGCTTCTGGGAGACACCGACCAGAGCACATGGCTGCAGCAAAGAGGGTGTTGCGCTACCTGTGCAGTACGTCGGGCATGGGGCTAGTGCTTGGAGGGCGGAGTCCAGTGGTCCTTACAGGGCACGTGGACGCTTCTTGGGCTGACGACCAGGCTACGCAGCGGTCGTCACAGGGTTACACCTTCAGTCTTGGTTCCGGCTCTGTCTCGTGGCGGGCTACTCGCTCGTCTTCGGTTCTCAGCTCCAGTTGTGAGGCTGAGATCTACGCTGGGGCCATGGCTGCACAGGAGCTTCGCTGGCTCACCTACCTGCTGACTGACCTTGGAGAGCCGCCTCGTTCTCCTCCAGTGCTGTACGTAGACAACAAGGCCATGCTGGCCTTGTGTCGAGAGCAGCGTCTGGAGCACAGAACGAAGCACATTGCTCTTCGCTACTTCCTTGCTCGTGAGCTGCAGCAGCGTGGACAGTTGCGGCTTGCGTACGTGGCCTCTGAGGCCAACACTGCTGATGTGTTCACCAAGGCACTCGCGCCTTGTGACCATCAGCGCCTCTGCACCCAGCTGGGTCTTGTGCCTGTCTTGCCTCACTTGCTCTCCTCTTGACTTTACTTGTACTGTGACATATATATACCTGCTCTTGCTTGTCTAGCTTTGTATATATATGTCTGTACTCCTGCATGTGAACTGGCCTCTGGCCCTGCTCTTGTGCTCGGACTGTGTGGTGACGTTGTGATCCACCCTGAGCTTGCTCTGCTTTGCTTTACTTGACTGGTCTTGTGACCCCTTGTTCTCCCCCACTTTGCCTATGGGGGTGTGTCAGATTTATATGACATAGTTGCTGTAGGCTATAGTGGGGTAGCACATATGGGGTACAGGGTTTCTAGGGTTGTATTTGTACCCAATCTTTCCTTAGTCATTCCATCCCTGTTCACTTGTTTCACAATTGAGGCGGCAAAAAAGGGTAATGAAGACTGGTATATGTTGCTGGTGGACTTTCGCAAGGCTTTCGACTCGGTGTCCAGAAGTTTCCTCTTCAGCGCACTCAAGGAAATGGGCTTCCCGGAGAGATTCGTTGGTTGGGTGGAAGGTCTGCACAAAGACACCAGAACGAGGCTGCTGATTAAAGGATGGCTGGGGGAAGTGGTGGAGGTAAAATCCGGGGTGAGGCAGGGCTGTCCACTCGCTCCTTACCTGTTTCTCTGTGCGGTGGAGCCTCTAGCGCAGGAATCACAGCGACGGAAGCTTGGTCTCTGCAGCAAGGCAAACCAAAGGTTAGGTTATGTCGGCTACGCAGACGACACGACACTTTTTTTGGACGGGAAAAGACAAATCGCGAGAGCTGAGAAGCTGTCAGCTTGGTTTGCCGGGCTGTCTGGGGCTGCAGACAAAGAAGTGCAAGTCGGTGATCCTTCCGATCGGCCACAACATTGGGAGAAGACTGGGCACGCTGGGAGGTTTTAAATGGGCTAAGGCGGATGAGGCAGAGAGAGTCCTGGGCGTCTGGGTCACCCCCTCCGGAAGCAGTGAGCCGACCTGGAAGCGGGCTTTTGAAAAAATAATTGTGGAACTGATAAAATGGAAGGCGCTGCTCCTCACGATTGCGGCAAGGGTCGTGATTATCAACTGCTACATCACGCCGAGGATAGCCTATCAGGCACAGGTGTACCCCCCGATAGAGGAGATCTGGAAGAAGCTTATGAAGCTGATTCACAACTTTCTAACGGGCAACAATGCATCTGCGGAGAAAGGCTTTGTGCTGTGGAATTGGGGGCTGCTTACCACACCGAAAGCTGGCGGAGGCCTCGGAGTTTTAGACCCAGAGATTCGACTTGCATGCGTTGCTGCGAGGAGAATTGGCTGCTTGCTGCTGGAGGAGAATGGGAAAAAGAAAGAGATTATGCTCAAGGCGGCGGGATTACCGCTCGGGGAGGACACGTTTCTGGCTCATGAATGGCTGTTGAAGCACTAGCTGGGAGATAACGAGCGGTGGCTGCGGATGTGCGAGACCTTCATGAACTCTCCGATTGCAGACACTGGGAAGTCCAGTAGCAGAGAGGAGGTGGCGCAGGAGAGGGTGGTTTTCAACCGTAAGCTGCTGTTGAACGGCACAAACCCGGTGGGGGGGCAGAAGGAAGCTAAGGGTCTCTGGGAGACGAGGCTGAGGGACCTGGTAACCGCACGGCAGGATGGTGCGGCGGAGATTAAAAACATCGTCACGCTAGAGCGGGAGCTGCGCAGCAGGGACTCAGCCCGATTAGCCCTCAAAGCACTAGATGCAGTGCCACAGGAGTGGAAAGCTGTGCTTACCCCGGATGCCAGAGGAGAGGGCGTAGTGTCTGGAGTGCAAAACTCGTCAGACATCAGCGGAGGAAGGAAACATGCAGCGGCAACAATTTTCCGTTCGGCGGTTTTCACTAATGGGCAGTTGTCATCCCTGAAGCAGTTGCGGGAATCGTGGGCCAAACCAGATGCGGTCCTTACGAAGCAGGAGAAGTGGTCCGGCAAGTGGAGCGGCAAGATAGATTGGGAGTGGGTCATCCGTACCAGGAACTCGCTTGTCATCCCGAACCGACCGCGTGATGTCCTCACGCGCATACACAACCACAACCTTCAGGTTGGGGAGAGGGTGGATTTTCTCAGCAGCAAGCCGAAGTGCCCATACTGTGGGGAGATTGAGACACAAGACCACTGCCTTTTCAACTGCCCGATGATTCAGCCAGTGGTCTCTGGCCTCCGGCGTGCTTTGCGCATGCTCAACCCCACAAGGACACCTGCCTCGCTCGGGGATCTACTGTTCCAGGAAACTGGTACCACGTCAGATTTTCCTGAAGCCACACTAACGGCCATCACCTTCCACCAGCTGTGAGTGGAACGCTGCGATGCGAGTTTTCGTGGGCAGAAGTTCAGAGCTCGGCGGGTACTCAGAAAAATCGGGACGGCTTTTCAGCTGCATGCAAGGGTGTACACGAGGGTGACTGGAGCAAAATGTGTGAAGCCGGGCAAGCTGGGGAAGCTCAAGAGGGTCAGAGGGGTTTTCGAAGCAGAACAGAAGATGCTGATGAGGATCAGGGAGGTTGGCGACAAGAAGTGGAGTTGGTCGGCCAGCTTCGCGGCAATTTGGAACAGGCCAAAGAGGGCTTTCTTACCGCCCTAGTTGTCTCGCTGGGCAGCGCAAGGTGTCTGCCCTCACGCTCAGTTACGACTGCTATTGCTGTATGCATTGTCCTTTTTAATGTATACTTCAATTAAAAAAAAAAAAAAAAAAAAAAAAAAAAAAAAAAAAAAAAAACCAGGCATACCTATTTATTAGACACCTATCCTCACTGCTCTTTGGCTTTATGAGGTGGACGACTCGAAGAATGCTGGAAGTTGCAATGACCCGATACCTCTCAGTACTCGTAGCGGACTTCAAAACCACGCATCGAGTAGTACTGTCACGAGCTTCTAGCCGGTCGTAGTATCGGATGTAGGCGTAATCCTGGGTCTTTCCACCGACCTGTGCATGGAACAACAACAACACCTTTGCAAACCACTCCTCATAGCCAGCTGCACCTTTACCCTGGACCGCGACATCCGAATACCATTCTCGGCCATGGTGTTTCAGAATAGCTCGTATACGGTGTGGCAAACGACTGTAAGTGGCGCCGATTGCGGCCGGCATAGCCAGCTCCCAATGAACCTAGAGAAAACAAAAACAGAGAGAGGAAACAAACAAGTATTACCAACACTGACCGTGCAACATTTTTAAGGGTTTAAGATAGGAGAGATTGCCAACTCACCCAAACATCTTAATATCCTCGCCACGCCCGTTGCAAGATGGTGCAAGGTTTAGCGCTTTTCTGAAATCCTTTAAGTCTTGGCCTATTGATGCTAGCAGGGGTGTGTCGCACTTCACATCCAGCTTCCATGGTTCAACATACGGAGCATGCTGACGATCCCATGGCACATGTAGACGCCAACTTTGCCGAGACAAGATCCGTTCCTGTCCTCTGTGCCTGGAGATGGGAGACAACGATGGCAATGGGGGGAGAACGACATCGTGGGACAGAGGGGGGTAGCAAGGGGCACAGTGGGATGTCATGGGACAGAGGGGGGTTGCAAGAGGCAGAGTGGGACAACATGGGACAGAGGGGGGTAGCCCGGGGTAGGGTGAGATGTCATGGGGCAGATGGGGGTTGCAAGGGGCAGGGTGGGATGTCATGGGGCAGAGGGGGGCTGCAAGGGGCAGGGTGGGATGTCATGAGGCAGAGGGAGGTTGCAAGGGGCAGAGTGGGACAACATGGGGCAGAGGGGGGTTGCAAGGGGCAGAGTGGGACAACATGGGACAGAGGGGGGTATCAAGGGGCAGAGTTGGATGTCATGGGGCAGAGGGGGGTTGCAAGGGGCAGGGTGGGATGTCATGGGGCAGAGGGGGGTTGCAAGGGGCAGAGTGGGACAACATGGGACAGAGGGGGGTAGCCCGGGGTAGGGTGGGATGTCATGGGGCAGAGGGGGGTTGCAAGGGGCAGGGTGGGATGTCATGGGGCAGAGGGGGGTTGCAAGGGGCAGGGTGGGATGTCATGGGGCAGAGGGGGGTTGCACGGGGCAAGGTGGGATGTCATGGGGCAGAGGGGGGTTGCAAGGAGCAGAGTGGGACAACATGGGACAAAGGGGGGTAGCCCAGGGTAGGGTGGAGAGTCATGGGGCAGAGGGGGGTTGCAAGGGGCAGAGTGGGACAACATGGGACAGAGTGACATCCATACATCCCTTCCCCAGCCCCCCCCCCCCCCCCCCCCCCCACCCCCCCCCCCTCCCCCTCTCTCTCACCTTCACCAGCGCCGTGTCGTACTTCTTAGTCTTATCCATCATTGGTGCTAGAGATCGTAGGCGAAGTCTAGACTCCTCGCTACGCACCACCTGCTCATTCATGTCCCTCATGTTCGACGCTCTATACGGTTGCTTCACAAACTCGATGTGTAAGTGTTCATAGAGTTGTGCACAGTAATTTTTCTGGTACACCGGGGCGCTTTATGGAGTCGACGTAATGACTAATGAGGTGCATTTTAATAATGTTCCATTGCGACGCTTGCGTGAACTCCACCTGACGTGCAGCCTTGGGATACCATCAATTGGGGCAATGAGCCCTCTACCCCACGGTGCACCGTTGACGGGCCTGACCACGAGCCACGCAAACCAACCTTTGTCCTTGGAACTATCCCTGGGACCAACATTCCCCTCTCCATAATTCTCGACAGGGACTCTTTTGGTACTGATGTTGACCACGGTGACGAAGAAGGAGGTGACGAAGCGGCAACGGAACCCACTGCAGTACCAGAAGAAGACCCTGATGCTGTGCGCGCATGCTACATGCGCACCTCACGACTCTGTGCCAACGATGACCGACCTTTGGCACCAGCGCCTCGGTCACCCCTCGCGTATAACGCTGAAAAAATGCATCGAAGCCGACGTGTTTGCGTCTGGCGCACTCCTGCGCCCAGATGGCACCAAAGTAAGGAGCAGGACACAGCCGCGCAATTGCACCGTCGGCCCCGAATCTGCGCTGAGTCACCAGCCGTTCCCGCCGCTCGAACGTGTAACCAACCGCAACCCCAAGCTGCACAAAGTGTACAGCGACTTCCTCAACATGGGGCATTGCAGAATCAACGACGAGCTGTATACGCTCACCTTTGTCAACGACGAGGTGTATACGCGGGAATGCGCTATGTCTAGATCGTGAACGTGGAAGCGGGTAGCGGAGCATACGAAGTCTTACGACTCTGGCTGGCGCACGCGCAGTGGCTGAAAATCTGGCAATCGGACGGCGCAGTGGAATTTAGGAGCAAGGAGCCGCAGTATTACCTGGCGTAGAAGGGAACTCAGCATCAGATTCCCCTCCCCTAAGCGCACCAGCAGCAAGGCGTAGTCGCGCGCACGAACTGTACACCCATGACGAAGGTGCGGGCGCTGATGAAGCAATCAAAGCTTCCGCAAATATACTGAACCTACGCAATTCATCACGCCGTGCGGGTGCACAACCTGCTATCAACCACTGCCATCGCCGGCAATCTGTCTCCGCATCTGAAGTGGACAGGGACCAAGGGCGACATATCCATGCTCCGCGTGTGGGGATGCATGGTGCAGTATCGCCCGCCAAACATCAACCATCGGGAAATTCGCAAGCCACTCGCGCTGGGGAATACAACTCGGCATCAGCCACGAGCACAAGGGGTGGCTCATCCTGGATCTCATCAGCCAAAAGGTCACGAATGCGCGCAACGTCATTTTCTACGAGCGGCTCTTCCTCGAGCAATCCCGCAAAGACAAGCGGGCGAACGCGAATGGCGTCTATGCCAACAATGGGCACAGCTATGCCACACCTAAAGACGAAGCCGCCGCAGCTATCCTAGAGCAAGAAACCAGAGGGGAATTTACAACAGGCGATCGCCACAGCATCGACGAGGACGACGACGACGATTCCCATGGAGGAGGAATTGGTGGATCAGGAGGAAGCAGCAGAGGCGCAGCACCACCAGCACCAACTGAACCAGAGAGCGACGACGATGACGTTCAAGAGGTCGTCCCGCAGCATCGCCACGACAGCACTGTTTCTGGACTGCAGCTCCGCACCGCCACCTCAATGACGCCACGTGTCACCGAGCCAAAGAATCCGCGCCAAGCTCTCACGGGACTACACAGCAAGGAATGGCATGAGGCAATGGATGCAGAAATCAAGGCACTCGAGTCCCACGACACCTGGGTGCTCGTCGACCTTGCCGTTGTCAAGGGGAGAAGAATCCTCTCCGGAAAATGGGTCTTATGCGTGAAGACCGCAGCAGACGGCACGATCGAGCGATTCAAGGTGTGTTGGGTTGTGCGCGGCTACGATCAGTGGCACGGCATTGACTTTGACCAGACATTTGCCCCGGTCAGTTGTCACACTTCCGTCAGAAACTTGCTCGCCATCGCCACCACAAGGCACTTCTGATTTCGACAGATCGACGTGAAGAACGCGCGTTCCTCTGCTCGTTAGTGGATGCTGTAACCTACGTGGAGCAGCCGCACACATATGGTGAGGGAGATTCACGCGTGTGCCAGCTACGGGATCAAACAGGCACCAAGGCTCTGGCAGTAATACCCGCACAACATACTGCTTGAGATAGGCTTCAAGCAGCTGCCTCACGATCCCGGGATGTACCGCCACGACTTCCGCGATGAATACATCCTGCTAATGGTAAACGTCGATGACCTCCTCTACACAGGGTCAAGCAACGAGCTGCTTGAGCAGTTCGAGAAGAATCTCGCGAAGCGCGTCGACATCACCTGCAACTATAACTTGACGCAGTTCCTTGGGCTTAACATTCCCTATTCACCAAAAGCTATTCACCTCTCAGCAGCCAAGTATGCAGAAAAACTTGGCAAACGGTTCAACATTGTGCCTGCGCCGCTCTCCATGCCTTACCACACCCCGGGACCGAATCACAAACCTGACAACAAAACCCTATCCCCAGCTGGACTCCAAACTTACCAGAAGCAGCTGGGATGCCTGCTCTTCGCCTCTGTCACCTGCAGGCCCGATCTCTCGTACATCACGAGCCGATTGGCTCAGTACTCACGCAAACCAACGGCTGAGAATCTTCTAGATCTTCAGCGTGCCTTGCGATTCTTCATCTCCACGCCCAATGTCGGACTCTGCTACTCCACAGTCCCCACCGCACCTTTCAACCTTATCGGCTACGTGGAAGCCGACAACAATCGACGGTCCAGGGCCGGTTTCCTGTTTCGCCTCAAGCCTAGTGGCCCCATCTCCTCGAACTCACAGAAGCAGGAGTTAGTTGCCCTATCATCGGCGGAAGCCGAATTCATCGCAGCAACAGCAACCGTTCGCGAAGGCCTCTAGCTACATGAGCTATTGCAGGAGGCAAAGGTTCCAACTGTGCCGAACTTCCGCCTGCACTGCGCCCCTTGTCAAAAAGGCTAGGCAGGAATGAATAAAAAAGGACAAAGCTGAGTACAAGTATGAAACCCTAAAGGAACTATACCCCATATTGGCTACCCCACTACAGCCTACATATATATAACACATATATAGCTTGACACACCCCCATAGGCAAAGTGGGGGAGAGCAAGGGCTCACAAGACCAGTCAAGAAAAGCAAAGAAAGCTCAGGGTGGATCACAACGTCACCATACACACTGAGCACAAGTAAAGGGCCACAACGCCAGTTCACATGCAGAGGTATATATGCAACAACAGCACAGTGATCACTACCTAGCAAGAGCAAGCATGTAGGTATATATATATATACATATATACATATATATATATCACAATAAAAGCAGAGCCTAGAGCAAGTGAGGAAACGTAGGCACAAGGCCTAACAAAGTACAAAAGCGCTGATGATGACCAGACGGAAGTGCCTTGGTGAATATATCCGCAGTGTTGGCCTGAGTGGCCACATGAGCAAGATGAAGCTGACCACACTGCTGCAACTCTCGAGCAAGGAAGTAACGCAGAGCGATGTGCTTCGTTCTATGCTTCAAGTCTGTGCTCCTGACACAAGGCAAAGGCGGCCTTGTTGTCTACGTACAAAACTAGAGGAGAACGAGGCCACTCTCCCAAGTCGGTGAGCAGGTAGGTGAGCCAGCGTAGCTCCTGTGCCGCCATGGCTATGGCGTAGATCTCAGCCTCACAACTGGAGCTGAGAACAGAAGACGAGCTTGTAGACCGCCACGAAACAGAACCAGAGCCAAGGCTGAACGTCTAACCCTGTGACGACCGCTGCGTAGCTAGGTCGTCGACCCAAGAAGCGTCTGAGTGCCCACTCAGGACAACTTGGCTCCGCCCTCCAAGCACGAGCCCCATGCCCGATGTACTGCACAAGTAGCGCAGTACCCTCTTAGCAGCATCCATGTGCACCTTTCGGTGCCTACCAGGAGCCACGTAGTGAGCCAAAAGGCCAAGAGGGTACGCAAGGTCAGGTCGAGTGCAGGTCATCAAGTACATGAGGCAGCCCACTAGCTCTGGGTACGAACCACTCGGCTCTACGGACTCGTCCGAAGGTCGAACTGAGAGCGAGTGGCCTATAGCCAGAGAAGTGGGGTGTGGCGAGGACCAGGTGAAGCCGAAGTGCTGAAGGACCTGCACCATGTGTGACTGAGTTAGTGTGATGGTGCGCCGTGCTCTGTCGCGGGTGATATGCAAGCCAAGGTAGCTGCGCAACTCACCCAGGTCTATGCACGTGAGCTCCGACTTAACAGGGCAAACGCTTCAGTGTCAGCAGTGGGAAAGACCAAGTTGTCGACGTACACGAGGATGTAGAATGGCGGCAGCGAAGTGTCGGTGCGCAGAAACAGCGACGGGTCAGCACAGGAAGGCGCGAACCCAAGAGTCGCAAGCGTCGTCCTCAGTGTGTCATGCCACTAACGAGGCACCTGGCGGAGACCGTAGACTGGTCAACGGAGGCTCTACTGGGTACCAGGTGGGAACAACCCAGTGAAGCCAGGTGGGCGGCGCAGCCAGATCTCCTCGTGCAGACTGCCCTGTAAGAAGGTTGTGCTGAAGTCAAGAGAGTGAGCCTCGTAGTCACGCTGAGCGGCGACGTGCAGCAGCACCCGAAGAGTGGTCATCTTCGGGGTGGGGGAGAAGGTATGGAAGAAGTCAACTCCCTCTCGCTGACTGA